ACCTGACCCCTCCGCAACAGATCCAGGAGTGGGACCGGCAGACGGGCGTGATATCCTCGGCGCGCGAGACGACGGCCTCGACAGTGGCGAAGATCAGCGACGTCGTCACCAAGGTAGGCCACACGGCCTCGAGGGCGGGGGTCCTGCTTACCGCTGCGCCGCGTGGCCGCTGGGAGCTGGCGGGGGCGGGGCGGGGGCGGCGGCGCGGGGCGAGAGCGCCCGTGGTGGAGGCGCTGCCGCGCGCGCCTTCTAGGGGCTGCGCCTTGCGGCGTGGGGCTGGCGGCCTCGTCAGCCTCCCAAGGTTCTCCCTGTCACAGCTCAGTCACTCTGCGACAATGCTCCCCGCCACCCCCTGCACAACGCTCACGCCCCCGCACCCTCGTTTCCCCTCTTCCGTACACGCTGACGAACTTGAACGCCCATCCTCGTACTCTGGTTCTTTCTTATCCATCCCAAACTTGCAGCTCACCTTTGTTCCATACCAGATGCTTAACCCATCCCGCATCCCATCCAGCACAGGCGACAGAGAATGAAAAGGTACAGTCAGCGATGCGCGAGACGTCAGTCGCCTTCTCTGAGGGCTGGTGGCGCATGAGCGCCTCGATCGGCTGGGCAGGCCGGAAGATCGGGGCCGCGGTCAAGGAGGGCGGCTTGGCACGGTCGGGGTCGCAGCCTGAGGACGCGCCGGCGGCGTACCAGGTGTGTGTGATCGTGTGTGTGTGTGAGTGTGATTGTGTATGTGATTGTGTGTGTGTGTGTGTGTGAGAGTGAGTGTGTGAGAGTGTGCGTGAGTTGTGTGAGTGGGTGTGGGTGAGTGTGAGAGTGTGTGTGTGAGTTTGTGTGTGTGTGTGTGTGTGTGTGTGTGTGTGTGTGTGTGTGTGTGTGAGTGAGAGAGAGAGAAAGAGAGTTAGTGTATTTGTGTTTGCGTGTGTGTGTGGGGGGGTATGGGTGTGTGTGTGTGAGACAGAGGGGTACTGGAGAGACCGCAGGGCGACGCCCGCCAGCCGGGCTCCGCGGCTCCGCGGGTTTGCGTGGCGCACCTGTGTGCAAAGGGGAGCGTGCGTTTGCGGTGCAAAAGACGCGCTGTGTGCATGTTCGAACACGAGCGCAAGTGTGGCGTAAATGTAACAAGCAAAGCATGTGCGCCCTTCCCCAACACCCAGGTGGGCCCTGGCGGCCAGCTGCCGCCATACCACAGCAGCGGCGGCGGCGCCGTCGGCGGCGGGGGCATAGGCGGCCGCGGCGTAGCTCCGGGCGCGGGCGGCGGCGGCGGCGGCGGCGTGCTGCGCTTTGGGGGAGACAGCGACGACCTTGACAGGTGATGGCTGATGCGCGTGTGCTGCTGCATCAGCTGGTGCTCTTTCTCAGGAGCCCTGATCCACTCGGCCCGGCGGTGCGGCGATTCGCCGACTCCCCCCCTCAACCGGCACCTGGAGCAAGCGCGTCGTAGCGATGGTCGCTCACATGCCGCCGCACCCCCTGCCTCTTTTGATGCGCGCACCCGCAGGCAGCTGTCAGGCCTGGACCCCCTCGACTCGCCCCCGCCGGGCTACGCGCCCGCGGCTGTTCCCCCGGCGCCCAGCCAGGCGCGCGCATGAAGCTGCTGCGCCTCCTCTGTGGCCCGTCCTCTGTCACGTTTGCTGCACTCTCGCGTCTGTTTGGTTTGCACTGCCGTTCATGTATTTATATTGTTGCCGGGCTGAGTTCCACGCATGCGTCTGCACCCCTGATTCCGCCAAAGCGCACCCCTTATCGCCCGATGCAGCTGCATGCCCTCCAACTGCATGCTCGGCCGCATGTGTCACACTGCGGTTGGGGGAGTAATCGCTGCAAACGCACATGTGTGATGGCGTCCTCAGTACCAACCACGCTGCGCCCTGTCAGCCTTGTGGTGTATGCGGAATTCATGCAATTGCTGTTACACCCTCTGCCGCTTGGCCAGCCGGGGCTCTGATGCAGGACCCAGCGCGTTCAGCTGCATGGCGGCCGCCTCGCCGCTGTCGCACGCGCTGCCGCTGCTCGCAGCACGCGGCGGCGGGCCTGCAGCTGGTGCATCAGCGCACCCACCGCACACCCCACAGCAGCTGCTGAGCAAGCCACACCCGCATGTGTGTTCTGCCTCTATGCTCTCCGCAGCGGCGCATACCTGCCCAGTCCGCTGCAGCGGCTGCTGCTGATTTTGCTGCAGCGCCTGTTCTTGTCGCTGCTGCTGCTGCTGCTGCTGCTGCTGTTGCTGCTGCTGCTGCTGCTGCTGCTGCTGCTGCTGCTGCTGCTGCTGCCCTGCCATACCGCTCCTCCAAATCTGCCCTACTGTGCGGGGCCATCGGTACTCGTACCGTACAAGAAAGCCAGCCCCCAGCACCGCAAGCACATGCCTGCACAGCAAAGACAGGAGGGGTGCAGGAGTGCGGAGTCCTGATGTGAGACCCCGCACCGCACGACCAGCGAAGGCTGCGACATCAGAGACGGCAGCCGCAGCAGAGCAGGCGGCGGCAGCAGCAGCGCGGGCAGTGGATGCGCTTGATGTGCCTCCACTGTGTTGCACACTAAGTGAATGATGCGCAGCCAAGGCCACTGGCAGCGGCGGGGACCAGCAAACCGCCTCGAGGGCCCACCCACCCACCTGCCGTCCTCCGAAACGCCGCAGCCGCGAACAGCGCCTTCCATTCCGCGGTGCGGCTCCAGGGCGGCGAGCTGGGCGCCGCTGCGGGCGTCGTACGCAAACACCTGCCCCCGGCGGTTGCCTGCGGGTTCAAGGCAGAGGGCAGATGGAGGGTTGAGACTGGCGTTTGATGTTGTACCGGTTGCGTACCAACTACATAGACACTGGGTCAAGGCAAAACTTTTCATTGCCGTCAGGGCGGGGCGGCACACGTGGCCTCTGTGATCGCGGCGAGCCCCTCTCACCTGCACACACGATGCGCCCGTCGCGTGTGTGGGCGAGGCCGCATCTACTGTGGTGGCTCACGCCGCCCGCGCCGCCGCAGCCTGGCACGCGCCAGTGGGCGACCAGTGCCCGCTTCTCCCAGTCATATGTGAGCGTGCGGCCGTCGACGCACCGCGCCAGCAGCAGGCCGCCTGGAGCATGCGCAAACGGTGGTTATGAGGCATTTGAGTCGCCACACGTTGACAACCGCCGGGAACCGAGGGCGGCAGCAGCCGTGGCGTCGCGAGGCGCACCACTTGCTGCGTCCAGCAAACATCGCAGGACGGGCCGCCGGCGCAAGCTTTCCCTCAGTTGTGATGCGCACCAGTGAAAGTTGCATGGTGCTTCCCCCCCTCATCTGACTCGCACCTTCCAAGAATCTGAGGCCCTCAATGGCCACGCCCCCAAGGCCTGGCAGCTCCATCGGTTCCCGAACCAGGCCGCGCCTCCAGGCCGACAGTGACCGCTGCTCCCCAGCGCGCCGCCCCGCTTCTGCCCCAGCGGGCTGCCGCTGGTCCTCTCGCCGCCGCCCGTCCTGCTGCTGCGGCTGCTTTTGTTCTGCTTGCTGGGGCTGCTTCTGCTGCTGTGGTTTCAATTGCTGCTTGTCCTGCTGCTGCAGCAGCAGCAGCAGCTGCTGCTGCTGCTGCTGGGCGTCCTGCTGTCGCCCGACTGCCTGCTCCGGCTGCTGCAGACCGCCACCGGCCGCATCCTCCACGCACCCGTCTGCCAGCCCGGTCTCCACCGGCCGCCAGCAGTGGAGCCTGCCGCTGCGCGTGCCTGCCACGAAGAAGCCGCCGCATGGGCTGAGCGCCTGAATTATATTATCCAGCAGCAACGGCAGGCGAAAGGCGCGGCCGACGTGTCAACCTTGCGGGTTTCAAAATCCAAGCTCACAAGTAACGCATAGTGCAGGTTGCGCAGCGGAGCTGATGGGCTGCGCTGCAGGGGCTAGAGATGTTGTTTGCACACGCACGCGTGCGTGCACTGCGCCGCGGCAGCCGCCGCCCTCAAGCCGCCCTCTCACCGCGCAGAACGCGTCGCCCTTGGGCGTCGCGGCGAGGCACACCGTGGCGCCGACGTCCCAGAGCCGCGCGCCGCCGTCGCGGCAGAGGGCGAGCAGCAGGCGCGGCGCGGCGGGGCAGGCGCTGAGGTCTACGGGGTCGGAGTCGTGCCCTGGCGGTTGTCGGTTGGTTGTAGGCGGGTTAGGTGGAAGGGGTTCGCGCTTGCAATTTGTGGGGAGTACGTGTAAATTCATTTCGGGATGCATTACGTATGTATTTCGGGCAGGCAGCGCAAGCACATGTCGCTGTTGAGCTCAGAAGGCGCAACGCTGGCAGGATGGACAAGGCGCCGGTGCCGCTCGCCGGCAGGCCTCCCAGCGGGATAGTCACGGCGCGGGCGGTGTCTGGGGAGACGCCGCGTGGCGCATGCACAGCGCAGTACACGCCGGCGGCCCGGGTGCCCGTCCCACCTTGCAGGAGCCGCACCACCGCGGCCTCAGCGACGCTGATGACGTGGATGCATCGGTCCGAGCCGCCCACAGCCTGCGCCACGGCGACGCAGACCGCACCGGGCGGCGCAGTAAGCTGTGAGCGTTCGCGTGGCATACGTTGTGGCGCCGTGACGCAACCGGCGCGTGCGCGAGCGGTCGAGGCGCCGTCGGCAGGCGTGTCTCGGGGTGGTAGGGATGCTGGCATGGCATGGGCGTGGGCAAGAGTGGTTGGGAGAGTCTGGGACCCTCACCAGCCACGCATCACCGGGGACGGCGCAGCGGCCGAGTTGCTCTGGAAGCCACGCGCACGAGAGCATCTCCTGCGGCGAGGGGCGAGGGAAGGCGCAAGAGGACGCCGGTCCGGCCCCAAACTCTGGGAAAGCGCGTCTGCGGGGTGGCCGGCCAACCGACCTGGTGGCCAGCAAATCCAAGTCGCAGCTCCGATGGCGGAGCGACGAGCAGGGCATCCTCGCGCGTGCGAGCGCGCCGCCGGCGGCGGGGTGACCCCGCGCCGGCGGCGCTCACCGTGGCTTTGCCGTTGGCTGGGGGTGGTGCATATTGCACCACGACTGATAGATGGTCCCCCATGTGTTGGTCGTCGTAGATCGTGACCTGCAGCAGCGGGTTGCCAGTGGGCATGGCCGGCCGATCGGCGGGTGCGCAGGGTGCGAGCTCTCCGTCAAACCCAGCTAGCTCATGTTGATGCATGTTGAGTCGCGGGGATGACGATTGGCCAGGGCTCGCTTAGTTAGGGGTCCGCCGTTGCGTCCGGGGTTGAATGGCATGCCCGGCTGATGCGCCTCGCGAGCGCGGGACTGCACCTGACCGCTGGCTGCCGTGGCGAACAGGTTGCGGCAGCCGGGGTGCGACGTGTTGATGGCGAGCGCCTGGATGGCGGCGCCGTGGCTCTCCTGTGCACGCGGCGGCAGCCGCGGCGAGCGGATTCAATGGGAAGAGGCGCTGAGCGCGCGACAGGTGAAGGCGCACACCGTGAAAATTCGCAAGCTTTCACGGGCCCCGGCCGGGAGGTCATTGCACTGTCACTACGCCCCAGTGCCTGCTGCCGGTGTGCGCACACCTTCACGACCGCCTTGACACTCAAGTGCTGGAGCGCATGGCGCCTGAACTCGTCGAGGCCTCCGTGCTCGTCAATTGCTGCATCAAGCTTGCGCAGGAGGCCTTTGGACGCTGCGTTCATGTTCGCGCGATTTTCAAAAGTGCGATCTGAGATCTTGAGAGAGCAAGTATAAGTTTGTCCGTGTGACGCGGGGTTGCAATCTTCCAGCAGTTCTTCGGTGAGACTGCGTGCAATGGCGAAATGCCGCATGAGACGCACATGCAGCACTGACATACATCACCTGCGGTGTCCCTTCCAGGCAGCACCTCGGAGTCAAGTACGGTATGCACAATGACGAGCTGCCTGCTGCACAGTACTGTCGTTTGATTACAGCAGACAATTACCTGGATGAGACCTCACAGGTATACAACACAGTACGACACTGCATCAGGTAAGCAGGGTTGAAGGCGTAGAACGAAGGGCAGGGTGACCTGGCCACACAGGGCCGGATCGCCCTTTGGCCCTGCCCGGCGGCCCCAATTTGCCTATAAACCTCACAGGAAGCAGACGCCATCACCTTCAATGCAATGACTAAGCACGACAGCACACAGGCGGACATCGGGCCTGCCCAGGGCTGGCAGGTTGGGAGACGGGTGAAAACGGCTCGCCGGCGCGGCGGGCGCGGCCCATCCTTGGGTTCCCCAAAAAGAGGGGGTGTCGAAACGTTCTCTCGCTGCTCTTGTGCCCTCCTCTCGCTGCAGTGGCCGGACGACGCAGCGTCGCAGAGGACGCTGGGTGCCGCGCGCGCCGCTGTCTATGGCACGAGAAAGGACCGCCGGCGAAACACGCGCTCCCATGGGGAATCCTGCAGAGCATGTGGGCGGGGCTGCAACACCGCTGCTGCGGCGCCAGCAGCGGCGGCTGCAGAAGTTTTGCCAACAGCAAACTGGCACGCTCACGCTCAGTCAACGGCAGCGAATATGCGTGGGGCGAAAGCGCCCGGGCGTGCTCTGTTTGGCGCTGATAGCAGCAGGTCTTCCTTCACAAATCGAATCACATCACAGTGACACAACAGCCAACCCTCGAGCCTGGTGCTAGGGGCCTTCGCGCGTCGGGCGCCGGGCACACAGCAATTCATTATAGTGGCGGGGCCACGGGCGGCGCGGCGACAGCTGTGGGGTCAGCAATCGTAGCGCAACGCGCGCGGACAACTGTCCCCGCACCCATTGGTCAGCATGGGCGGGGACGATCAGGGGCAAGATGCCAGCGGCAAGGCCCGACGTATTTGGGGGTGCATGCACCTGCTCCCGCATGGCAGCGGCAGGTTGGGCGTTTCGAGGTTGGTGTTTCGTTTTAGCTTATTGTTTGGGCCTCCAACTCTGCCCGCATTGGCACACGCGGCGCCCTTGTTTGCGTAGAGGCAACGGCAAGGGAATGGGCAGCTACGGACAGCTAAGCGGCGGGGCGCCGTGCAACGCGCTGCTGTGCTGACGGCCGCGCGGGAGGGCGACGCGCAACGGCAAAATGCGGTCCTCGGCGGCCCGTCAGTTCAAGGAGTATCCGTTGATGCGCCGCCTGCTGGCGCCCGCCCGCCCGCGGAGCACCAAAAGCCATGCAAAAGCCTGCGGCAGGCCGGCGGCGAAGTGAAGGTGCGCGCCGTGCCGCAGGTATCAATGCAAATGCGGTTTCGAAGCGGACCGAAAGGTCGCAGGAGACGCGCGTGTGCCCCGGTCAGAGGGGAGCACCGCCTGCGCACGTGCACGCGGCGGGCCGATGCAGGGCCACTCTTGGCGCGCCCAGCTGGGGCCGGGCACCAACAAGCAACTGCACTATGCCACGAGGTTGTAGTCTGTACGCCACGTGGGCTGTTGGGGTAGCGTTGTTGCTCAACGAGAGCCCGGCCAGCAGACGACTCTGCGCAGGACTGGGAACAAAGGTGGATGCCGGCGCCTCGAAACGAACCATGGGGCCGCGCGGCTCCTGAGGCAGCTGCTGGAAGGGGCGCCCTTCTCGTGCGCATGCCTGGCATGGGTCGAGCCCAGCGGCTGTGCGGGGACATGTCGGCGTGTTGGCCGTTTTTCAGGCCGACCGTGCCAAGCGCACGCGCATGGTGCGGCCTTCGCGGGCTGACGAGAATAAAGTAGGCCTGGTGGAAAATCAGACAAAACTTGACAGTGTTATGGAACGGGCGAGCAGGGCAATGCCACCCAATGGCCGCAGTTTTGCCGAGGAGAGGGCGCTGGGCCGAACAGGCGGCGCCAGCGGAGGGGCCAAGGACATAGCAGTGGCGCCTCCCAGCACCGCCGCTGGCCTCGCAACTCCGCATCCCAAATGTATGGTAAGTGCCGCGTCGAACTCAAGAGCGAATGGAACACATTGCACAGAGCCGCAACCGTTGGAAGGGCGGCGGGACTGGGTCAACGCCGGTGCCGGCATCAGGAATGTGCAAGGGCCCTCACAGAACGATGCCGCCGTTCGCCCAAAATAGGGGTGCACCACAGCCCGCTAGCGCCCCGCCGCCGCCAGCCTGCGGCTGCAAGGGTCGCGCAGCCTGCGCCTGCAGTGCCGCCCACAGCGGCAGCTGCGCCGCCGCGTCGATGGGGGCCAGCGCCGAGGGCGCGATCGGAAGCTGCGCGGGCGAGGCCAGAGGAAATGCGCCAAGGGCGTGCGCGTGTCCTGTTGACTCGGGCAAACCGTAAGAGCACATGGGCGGCGCAGTGCCGCCCAGTGGCAGCTGCACGGGTGCCTGGGCCAGCGGCGGGGCCGAGACGGGTGTGGCCGCAAGGAGCGGCATTGGGGACGACACGGGGACGCTGGCGGCCGCGCACGCGGCGAGCGGCAGCCCCATACTGACGGACGCTGCGAACGCCGCCACCCGCCCCGCGGCCGCGTCGGCGGCGGCCTCGGCCTCTATGGCTGCCGCCATCGCGGCAGCTGCGCGGCGGCTGCTCTCCTCCGCCTGCTGCAGCAGCACCTGCAGGACCTCGCCAGCATTGCCATCGCCATAGCAGCAGGAGCTGCTTACGAGCGCAGCCGGGCGCATCCCCTCGTCGGGCTCGCGCTTCGACGAGGCGGCGAGGCGCGAGCGCGGCAGGGCCGTCTTGGGCGAGGGGCCCAGCGCCGGCCCCGCGCAGGCGCAGCAGGCGGCAGCCTGCCACTTGGTGCTGCCGCCGATGTCTGCAGCTGACGCAGTGCGCCGCGGCGCACAGCAGGCGCCCGGCCACGCCGCCGAGTAATCGGAACGGGCACTGCCGCTGCCGTCACTGCCGTCGTCCGCCTGCAGCCGCGGCTGCTGCGGGGCGGCGGCGGCGGGCGCTGTGCGGATCGACAGCGGCGCGCGCGGCCGTCTGAGGTCGGCCGAAGAATGCGCGAAGAAGCAGACCTGTTGGTTAGGCGTCAAGGGGGGCGGCATGCGCTTTGGTATTTGTCACTCAAGACTGTCGCATGCGGTTTGGCAGGCACGAGCGCCTTGCTGATGCGGCAGGGTGCGATGCTGGTGAAAGGGGGCATGTGTGAGTAGACGCACAATCGCACATGCCAGGAGGGCGGGAAGGCCGCCGTTGGTATCAAGGCGCGTGCACGCCACCACCCACCTTGCGTGTGCAGGCCTGACCGTCTGCGCAGGGCTTGGTTTTGTAGCGGTCTGGGTGCAGCCACACCTCAAACACATTGTGGGCCTGCGAAGGAGAAAGAGTGGCGCATGCAAGTCAATGAGATTTGAGGGAGGGGAGCCCGCTTTGCCCCGACAAAGGAGGGCGGTTAGGCTGAATGCTGGGCGCCAAGATGCCTGCGACGAGACAGGACTGTTTGATTGGCGCCGAAGAAGAAAGACGCGAGGCCCTGGGCACCAGCAACAGGTGCCTCGCTCACATAGGTGCAGGCGTCCCCAAGTGGGCAGGACTCGGAGCGGCGTGTATGGGGGCACATCTCTGCGCAGTACCTTTGGAGGGGATGGGGGCATGCAGATGGTGCACGTCTCATCTATGGGCATGTTTGTGTGTGTGAAGTGTGTGTGATGTGTGTGTGTGTGTGTGTGTGTGTGTGTGTGTGTGTGCGCACGCGCTCGCACGGGGAAGCAATCGCATTGCACATGCACAGTGTGTGCACATGCAGGTGCAAAATGCATGTATGTAATTGAGCATGCGCTCGTAGGTCAATGCACATGCATGCTTGGCAGGGACCAACAGCGACATGGGTAGCATGCGCATGTTTGACCAGTCAATCAGTGAATATGGCCGCGTTCCATAGCGCCGCATGGCACATGCGCGCATGTTGGCATCCGGCATGGCAAGGAGCACATGGGCGCGCATGGGCACTGCATGATCTTGAATTGAGCGGGCATGCGTGGGGCCGGGGACTCACGTGAAGGAGTCGAGGGAGCGGCGGCGGGCGCTCTCCCCTGGGTGGACATATGGGCACACCTTCCTGCAATTTCGCATCGCCGCACGTGGTTGTGGGCAGTTGAACATGGCCACGGGGAAGGGGGGACATCGGGAGCAGCAGATCGGGTTTAGTGAGGCGTCAGGCCAAGGGCCGTTGAGCTGTGCTGCCGGCGCGACCACGCACATCAAGGCAGTCCGGGACCACCCTGGCGCTCACCAGTCGTGGGAGGTGCGCTGCGCACATGGCAGCACCTGCGCATGCGCGCCGCAGTGATACGGGGGGAGGGGCGGCGGCGAGGTTTTGAGGGCTGGGGTTGGAGGTGGAAGCGGGAGCGTGATCTTTCACGGATATTTGTGGGCAGTCCGGATGATGAATCAGCGCTCGCATAACATCGTGCGCCGCAGCAGTTGGTGCCCTTCATGCCGCCCTTATGCGTCGCCACCAACCTTGTAGTAGGCTATCCTGAAAGAGTCGTCCTGCCAAAGATCAAGGTCCAGGGGAGATCCCTCCTGCTTGCCGGCAGCCCCGCCAGAAGGCAGCGGCATCGCCGAGGCAGCGGCCCCTGTGGCTTGGGGGTCGGGGTCCTTTGGCATGAGCAGCATGTCTGCAGCCTGCGGATCGGCGTGAGGTAGGTCAGATAAGAAATCTTTCAGCATTCGCTTCACCCGGGGCCAAGTTGGCATGCATTCAAAGCATCTGTGCGCAGGATCCACAACGACAAGCGCCGCGCTGCTGGCGACTGTAGGCGCAAGCAGCCCAAACGCTCACCTGGTCCAGCGCTGCGCAACTCGCTTGTTTCATATCTCAAATAAATCTTGAATATTCCTCAGGCAGCGGTCGTGGCCGGTGTCTCCTTGACGCAGACCCGGTGCGCGCGGGACCAAGTGTGGAGCAAATCGTGTGCAGGCCCGCGTCGTGATGTTGAAAACAAACAAAATGAGTTGAAAAGCATGTCATATGGGCCGTGTCGCAATGGTGGAGGCCGATTTGACCTGGTTGATTTTCATGCAGATTTGCTCCTTTGAAATATTTTAGTCAGCACCCCCGCCGTGGCACACCTGCCTCCGCCCTCCACCCAGGCCGCACCGTGCCGCTGGCTGGACATCCTCTTTACTGCTGGGCTTATGCAACGCTGCAAACTGCTGTGCCAGGACAACCCACGGCATGAACGGAGAGGGAGGCAAGGTAATCACTGGCTTGGTCAAGCACTGAAACAAATTCGAGGCAACATTGCTGCAAATCGGATCAGATTTCAGTGAGATCCAGGGCCAAACACCCCTACTGCAAATCCAAATACTGTGGGAGGCATAGTTGATTTTGGCTGGGTCAGTTGCATAATCAAATCTCGTCGCCGGCAGGCAGACTGTTGACACATCTCTGAGATAGGCGTTGTTGCTCGCCCGCCAGGCAGCCCGTGATTTTGGGATGCACAATATGTGGTGCAGCGCATGAGTGGTGACACAGTGTACTGACGGGGGGTTTGGCGCATGCCAGGCCCCTGAGGGCGAGAGCATCTGCCACTCATCAAGCCCTATCGTCAGACCTGTGCTGCCAGTCCATGCACCCGTTTTGTAGTGCCCTCAGCATGAAAGCACAGCCGACGAGCGATTTTGCCCTGGTGCCGCGCCTGGAGACCGTGCTGAGTTGCGTAAAGCCGCCTGATACGATGGCTCTGCTAAGCATGGCGTGCTCTGCTCGGATCAGCGGGCTGCACAGCTCCGGGGCACAGGCCTTGCGGATTACGAAGTGGAGTGAACCCAACCAAACAAACCATGTGGGCGTTGCGGAAAAAGAGCTGGCCACACAACAAGCAGCGAGCAGGGGCCCCTGCGGATGCCAGGCACACGTCCGCACACACCAACACACACGCACACACACACACACATAAACATGTCAACAACAGTGCAACACCTCATTACCAGTCCTGAGCGCACGTTTGCAGCGGCTGGACCAGCGATGCCTTAAAATTTGATGATGATGATCAGGCCTCATAAGGCACGACAGCGAGAAAATGCGTCGCTTCAACAGGTGTGCAGCCTGGACTGCGACAGGGGGTCGTGCTCTGACTGAACGAACGGAGTCGGGGTATACAAAACACAAGGGCCGGGTGCCAGGATTGACACGGCCACGCCTCAAGAGGCATGGGCGTCGGCACCCTGCCGCGGCCCGGCGCGCCTCAGGGGGATCGGCTCCTGCGCGACCGCTTCTTGTCCTTGTCCTTCCGCCTCTTCTCCTTCTTCTCCCGCTTGTCTTTCTTCTCCTTCTTGGACCTCTTGCTCTTCTGCTCTTTGCTGGAGCTGTGTCGCTTGCGCTTCTGCACAAGGCGAGGGGTTGGGGCGACGCCAAGCACGGCAAGAGCTGGTCAGCACAGGGCGAAGGGATCCGTGTGCGCAGGGCCTGTTCTTCCGCCAAGATGCAGACTTTTGTCGGAGGCAGGCTAAGGCACAAAAGTAGCCAAGCCGTTGACTGTGGGCAGCGCAATCCACCACAATCGATCATGGCTGCACAATATTTGAGGCCGTGTGCCCCTGCCGCGCAGCCTCCGGCCAGCCTGCCTGCACTGCCTTGCTCTTCAGCCCCCGCCCCGCCCCCGCTCCCGCCCACCTTGCCGCTGCCGTCGCTGTCGCTGCCGTCCGACCCGCTGCTCGACCCTGATACGCCCCCGCTGGATAGCAGCTCCAGCGCGTCCGCATCATCCGCCTCGGTCAGCAGCGGCAGCGCCCCGCGCGCCGCCAGGGAGTCCTCCCTGCCCTCCGCGGCCGCCGCTGCCGCAGCGAGGTTGCGGCACTGCTTCGTGAGGTGCCCGAGGCCGCCGCAGACCTTGCAGGCGCCGCGGTTGGTGGCGCCGCCGCCCGTGGAGGCCTTCGCCAGGGCCTTGAGGCCTTCGTAGTCGGTGACCGCCGGCTGGTAGCCAGCTGGAGGGGGTCGGGCGCAGGGCCAGGGGGCGGGTGCAGTTGGCGTGGAGGGGGGGGGGTACAGGGAGATGTCGTGCCGCTGTCGCGGGCGGCGGTCTGTCGGCGCGGCTGCGCAGCACCGACGGTGCCACTGATGGCGCCCGCACCGGCGCCCGCATGGCTCTTGCGCGGCCAACACTGGGTAGCTATCGCCGCAATCGACCAGCCAAAAGGCCACCAACACAAGGAGCGTGAAGCAAGCGCGGTCGACGTCGAGGTCGCGCCCCAGATCCAGCGCCACCCGCTCACTGGCCGCCATAAGCTCCTGCGCGCGCTGCTGCTTCTCCTTACGGCTGCCCCGCTTGTGGCCTGGCGCATACAGAGCCTCCTCGACCGCCGTGTTGGCGCCCATCCCCTGTTCCAGGCCAATCGTGTTGGCCCATATGCCCGTGACCTGCAGCGCATTGCTGGGATTCGGGGCGTAGAGCCGCACAGGCAGCGGCACAGGGGCGGCGGTGAGGCGGCGGCGCAGCATCGGGGCAGGGCACGCCAGGAAGGCTGGACAAGGCACGAGGGGCTTGCGTGCACGGTGTGCGCCAGATGCGCACAGCGGCAGCAGCAGCAGCAGCAGCAGCAGCAGCAGCAGCAGCAGCAGCAGCAGCAGCAGCAGCAGCAGCAGCAGCAGCAGCAGCAGCAGCAGCAAGCAACTGCGCGGTGGCAGCGAGCGTGAACGGCATGCATGCAGCAGCTGAACGTCTCCTTGTTCGATTAGATCACACCTGGCGCGGACCCGGTTATATTGGGGCTTGAGCCTTCCCGTACTCATGGCTGCCTGCCTAGACCGTGTTGATTGGTTGATCTGTTGTAAAGCCTGATCAAATCGTCTTTCAAGTCGCATGCACAATTAATATCATAACACGATGTGCGGGGCCGCCTGCAAGGGCATCAAAGTGAGAGATGCTGGTTGGCACCCTGGTGACAGCGGGAGCAGAGGGAAATAGTGGCCCTGACAGCCGAGCGCGCCCTGTACGCCGTACATTTTGATAGCTTCACATTGATCGTCATCATGCAGACCATCCGTGAGTGCTCCGTCGGTGGCAATTGGCCTTTCGTTGCAATCAGGATCTGACCGCCACTTCCACTCGCAGGTCGCACCGCTACAAGCCAGAAGAGCCAGGCGGCCTCCGTGGCTCGCCTGAGCTCAGGTGGGTGGGAGCTCATTGATCGCTAGGAGGCCTGAACTGCCTGTGATCGCTCAATATGTGATCGGCCCCTCACAACCGCCCTGCCGCAGGCTCCAATTTCGTCGCCAGGGCTGTGTCTGTCACCAGGGTGAGCCTGGCGCCGCGCCGTGCTGCTTTGCTGCGTGCGCCGCCACGCCGCTCTTGTCACAATGGCCCCATGACGGCCCCCTGGGTGCTGCGTTTCTGCCCACCCTGGCCACCCCAATCTTATATGTGCATCTACCCACCTTTTACAGACAGCGGGTCGTGTGGCGGCCCGTGTGGAGCGTAAAGTGGTGGCGAAGGTCTCCGCCGCAGCTGCAACCGCTGACAAGGCCGCCGCGGCCCCCGGCGCGAGCGCTAATGGCGGCGGCGGCGGCGGCACCCGTGTGATGATCATCGGTGGGTGCGGCAGCCTGCAGCGGCGGCAGTGCCGCTGGGAAAGGGGCAGGATTGGCCATGCTGGCCGCTGCGGCGCCACCGCTCCGCGAATTTGACAGTTGCGAACACCGCACCAACAGCGTGGCAGACAGCGAGCTGCCCAAGCAGTCAATCCCGCGGCGTCATAGCTGCCCCTAGCTGTATGGCGATCCCCTCGGGCGCGGGCAATACCCTCCTCGCCTGCCGCCGCCGCGGCCCGCGCCCGGCCCCGCCTCGCCACGCGGCGACGCCAGCCCAAGCCCGCCCGCCCGCGCCCCGCGCCGCAGGCGGCGACGGCTACTGCGGCTGGGCCACCGCGCTGCACCTGTCGGCGCGCGGCTACGCCGTCAGTATCGTGGACAACCTCTGCCGCCGCCAGTTTGACCTCACCCTGGGGCTGGACACGCTGACGCCCATCGCCACCGTCCACGACCGCGTGCGCCGGTGCGCCCCGGGCCCGCGTCCCGTGGGTCGAGGCGGCGGGGCCGGCGGGCGTGTTCGAGGGGCTCCCGCGGGGCCGCTGGCCGCTTGGGCCTGCTCTGGCAGACACCCTCACGGGCCGCCCTCGCGCGCGAAACCCTCCGCGGCTGCCGCTGACTGCGGTGCTTTCTCCCCCCTCCAGGTGGGGCGAGATCAGCGGGAAGCACATCGACCTGCAGATCGGGGACATCTGCGACTGGGAGTTCCTCTCGCAGGTCATTGGGGTTTTGGGGGTTTGTGGGGGGCTGCTCCCGCGGAAAACTTTGCAGTAGCAGGGCTGCTCCATCGGCAGGGCTTATGGGGCGCAGATGGGGGGTGGCTGGGCCGGGCTGGGGCAGTCGCGGCGGGAAAGGAGGGCAGCTGTCGGGGTGGGTGGGTTGGCTTATGCACTCCTGGAACAAAAGGCGCTCTCGTCACCCCAGCTCGCAGCCTCCTCCACCATGTAAGCCTGGGCGCTGTCGCGGCTCGCGATGGCGCCCTCGGTCGACTCAGCTGCGACCCGCCAGCCGCCGGCCGCCGCCGAAGCCATGGAAATCGGGACTCATCCTCCTCTCCCCCGCCCCGCGCTGCCCCCCCC